CTATTTTCCGGAGGCCTTCAACCTCATTGCAATTAACTTCTAATAAACAGCCAACACTTGAATATTCCTCGACAGTCCTAGCGCTTGATTCATTCATTACTTTGGCCCCAATCAAAAGGCTCTCAAGATTGCCAGTCCAGTTAGCTTACTTGGAAAGTTTCAAAAGATTTTTATACATGACAGATCGAAATACCTTTGAAAATTGAGTTGCATTGGAATAATCCTTGTTGTCTCCGGGATTGCAGCGTAGAACACATATCATGTTTTTTTTAAGTCCGTTTAAGTCATCTTGAATCATAAATAATTTCTAAAATTTCACACATTCAAGTTTTACGCTTCATGGCAGTATATTTTAGTTTTCGCATCCGCAAACGTTCACGTCGTAGAAAGCTGATTACTTTTTAAATAATTGTCCTGATCTGATGATCCTTTCTAATACAAATTCAGTTGTTTCTACAGGAGAATTCTCCAATCACTTAGTGTAACTATCACATTAAGATATGCAACAACTGATCTATTTGATGGCTTCGCTGCCAAACTCACACCTATCTCCCTAAATTGCACTTTCTTGTGCTAATGGGCAATTATTACAAACTCAAAATTTTGGATTATGTACAGATATACCTAACTGTTTTACCAATTTCCTGTTCACATGTCATCTTAATGCGCACAGTAGAAGTCACTTTCAACATGGCTTCTTTCCCCATGCGTTGAAATTCCTATTCTATTTCAATTGTTCCATCCACTGCTTCAGCTCCTTCGTAAAAAGAACTTGTGCAACAGTGGATCTAGATTGTCCATACAGTCCGCAACCTTTTACACCGATGCTATTCCCCTTTTCATCATTAAAATATTATTCTAATAGAAATCTTATTGAACACATGCACGCACAATCACTCTGGTCTATTTTTTCAGTCCCTCAAGAATGTGATGAGTTCTGTTTGTAACTTCTTGTATTTTGGTTTTAAACGTTCTGCCCTTTGCTTTTACTTGCAAACTTGATATTCCTTGATCGCAAATGCATCGTCTCTGAAAATCAGAATAATTTTTTTGCAGCTATCAAGAGGCGTATGTCAATGAATAATATATATGTAAAAGTTTAATATAGGCTCTTATAGCTGGTACAATGATGAACATTTACCAGGTACTATTTCTCACAAATAAACAAAGAGCAACAGTTCCTAATTTACATATTTGAATAATTATTAATCATGTTTTTATTACTATAATTTTCTACTATGAAAAACTGTCAATACTTATTTTTCAAATGTATAAAAAGTTTCAGCCATTTGCCAGAGTAAAGGAAAAATGAAAACACAAACCTTTCACTGTGCAGAAGCTGGTTAAGTTCTTTCAACTCAGCTCAGCATTTAAGCATATAGAGATGATCTGTGCTCTCTGGAAACACTTTTTGTTATTCAAACTGATACACACACACACACACACATACACACACACACACACACACACACACACACACACACACACACACATATATATATATATATATATATATATATATATATATATATATATATATATATATATGTGTGTGTATATATATATATATATATATATATATATATATATATATATATATATATATATATATATATATGTGTGTGTATATATATATATATATATATATATATATATATATATATATATATATATATATATATATATATGCATATATATATATATATATATATATATATATATATATATATATATTTATATATGCATATATATATATATATATATATATATATATATATATATATATATATATATATATATATATGCATATATATATATATATATATATATATATATATATATATATATATATATATATATATATATATATATATATATATACATATACATACATATATATATATATATATATATATATATATATATATATATATATATATATATATATATATATATATATATATATATATATATATATATATATATATATATATATATATATATATATATATATATATATATATATATATATATATATTTGTGTGTGTGTGGGTGTGTGTGTGGGTGTGTGTGTGTGTGTGTGTGTGTGTGTGTGTGTGTGTATATTCAAAAGATTTGACTAGGATTTTCAGGTAATAAAGATTTTAAAATATTCTTGCTAACTTGACACTACTAAAAATGATTATCTAAAAGTATAGTTAGGAGCTCATATCAACAGAATCTAAGTGTCCTAAAAGTATGGAGTTGCTTTCAGAAGATGGAGGTGGTACTGGTGGTGGCGGCGTCGATGGGTGTAGCCATAACACTATACATAGTGGCAGCTGCACCTTGCATCTCTCCCACTTAAGCTGTAGTATTATTCATTGTGTTATATCTATACAAAACTGAAATCTTTGAAATAGGAATATGTAGCACAGAACTTCCTTCATATATTTACAGACTATCACAACTAATAGGACGAAATCATTTCGTACACAGAGTTGGTAACCATCACGTGTAAGGCTTCAAGAGAAAACTTATCGGGTATGTTTATGATCGTTGAATGTATCAGGCGTGAAGATACAACCCGGCCTCATAATGTCTAAACACATCTTGTAGGTGTTACTTAGTTTCTGGCAGGTCCTCCTAAACATACCGGCCTGCTGACAATTTTCCACCATGCTTGGGATCTGTAAAATGAATTTCTTTATATATTATAAAGGCCTACTTATTAATGTGAGAGGCACCTGGTCTTTGGTGCAGCTCTGTTATACATACACAGGAGCGAATTTCAACAGCACCGAGTTTTTGGATGGTGTCTCAGAACATCTGTCCTCTACTCAGAAAGGACATTACAGACTGTTAACCTATTTATTAAACAAGAAACAACCCACAGTCCACGCAGTTTCCAGTGTGCATGATCGAAACACATGAATGATCCTCTGGGAGATCGAGACATACATCAGGTAATACTATGAGGAATTAGACTAACATAAATATCCATAAAGAGCATTTTAAGTAAGAAACTGTCTGCCATACTTAACGTTCGTCTGCCAAGTCAAGAGAGGTAGCATCCCTATACCAACAGTGCCATAATCGTGCATCATTGTTGATGCCTCTAAATGCAAGTGTTAACCTTAAACTTGACATGGTATTTGTCTCTTGATTTCTTCTGACAACAGTATTACAACAATTATAATGATCTTCACAATCAAATTGATATTAGAACACGTACATGCTGCTGCTTACTTGTTATTCTAGGTTCTACATCACTCGAAACAGAGAATATATATATTATTCTCTGTTATAAATATTAAAAATTAACAAGTTAATACAAACAATGGTCCTCTTGATATTAAAAAAAACAATAAATGCCAGATAAAAGGATCGTATCGTGCATTCCCCGTGGCCTCTGGCAAAAGATGCTCTGTGCTCCAACAAAAGCCAACATCTGACCACCTAGAAAACTTGCAAGACCGAGCTTGGACTGGTTCTTTCTATGGCAATAAACCGACAGGGAGATCTATAAGTATTATATTTTCAGCATATATCTGCTGAGGGATTATTGGTATTTGCTGCATTGATCAATGAAGTCATTGAATGCACTCTTTTCAACATTTAACTAAGTTGTCGTTCACTTGACCTAGTACTTTTACTCAAAAGTGAATGTCATTTTTCTTCTTCGTGTATCTCCTTTTTTGTAATTTTTATTGGCCATGGCTTTATTGGCTGCTTCATATATTAAATATATATGGAATTCAGATTATCCATATATGAGGGTATGTGCGTCCAAACGTATTCTCGGACAAAAGGCCAGAAAATTGCATTTATTACATGTTTTGTTAATTTTCATCTATAACATAAGTTTCGATACATCCACGTTAATGCACAACAGTCGTTAGTTAGAGTGCATTTTACGTAAATTATCGGTGCTTGTGTTATAGAATTTAGATTAACAAAACTTTTAATAAATGCAATTTCCAGTGATTGGGCGCACTTGCTTTCATATATGTAGCCCAATGTATATAAACAGCCAAGTTTGTACAATTTATACATAAATACACATTTATATATATATATATATATATATATATATATATATGTGTGTGTGTGTGTGTGTGTGTGTGTGTGTGTGTGTGTGTGTGTGTGTGTGTGTGTGTGTGTGTGTGTGTGTGTGTGTGTGGGCACGCGCGCGTGTTTCAGGGAGATTTTAATTTTGTTATCCGTGAAAATTCGACATTCATCCAACTTCTATGAAGAATAAAATCAGCATCATTCAATTACATTAAGGTTAGATGAATTAAAACGCCCAGGCAGGAGAGTTGCCACGAGTCTGAAAATAGGAACTATGCATTCCCGGCTGATTTATTAATAAACGAATATGATATTTGCTCAAGTTGGTAACGTGAACTCTCCCGGACGATCAAAGGTTTTGAGAGCGATTGCGAATATCACAGCTGTAAGACAGATGACATTCCAATAGTCGGGTCTGACACTACCTTTCCCGAAAAAAGTTTGCATGTTGTTCTTCCATTTTAGCAGCTTTTCCTGTTTGTTTTCTAAATTTCCATGTTCTCTAGATTAACCGGCTTGCCCTGTCGAGGGAATAAATAGAAGGAGGGGAAGGTTAGGTTTGGTTTGGATGATACCCTGGCTTTGGCACTTTTTGTGGGAAAGGTTAGATAAATGAATGTGATGCCAATACTCGGTTCGATAACTGACTCACGCTGTTTTAAATTGCTGAATTTATAATTAGTTTCCAACATGAAAACTAAGCCTTATCTTCCATGGTCTTTTCGAATCGATGAAAATGAAGGTTTCGTCTTTTCTTCCTGTTTGCTGAAATGAAGACAAATACTCCAAGAAATACTCCCACGGTGTGCGGTACGAGACACCACGCTAGTATTCGAAACATTTCAGATGAACATCTAAGTTTTCCCAATACTGTTCACCTTGATACTTCCGTTTTGCTAAAACACATGCACACGGTACATATCAAAATATTTAATATTACCATATTT